CCCTATGGTACACCAGTCAATATCTGCTGGGGGCTCCCTATATGGCACTGGAGAAACGGGCTACATCTCTATTCTCATCAGTCTTACATTTTAGAGAGGGAGAAAGATAATAGCCAAATAAGCATGTGCATAACTAATATAATAACATTATAGGTGATAGGTGCTATGAAGACAAAGAAAGTGGGTAAAAGGAGATAAGCAGGAGTGGTATTTCAGTTAGAGAAGGCACTCTGCTGAGGCAAACTCATTGCTTTTAGCTGTTGCATAGCATTACATTTCCCTAAAAAAGGATAGTGAGGTTTATTTCTCATTTTTTTGGGCTATTACAAGTCATGTTGTAATATTTACCTCCTTGTGCACACAAACAGTAGTACTTTGAGTAGACACTGAAAAGTGGAATTACTAGGTCATATTTGTAAGCTGCTCTCTGAAATGGATATGTTAACTTGCACTCCCATCAGAAACTGCATGTTCCCTACACCTCTCTTAATAGTTAATACTATCAACATTATTAATTTTACCAATGTGATATATGAAAAAATGATATCGCAGCTATTTTTAATTGGCACTTCTCTTATTACTCTTTAGTTTGAATATCATTTCATATGTTTATTAAACATTTATTTTTCCTATCTTGTAAAATGACATTTTATTTCCTTTGCCCATGTTTTTATGGGATTTTCTTTTTCTTTGGATGTGTTGGCATTCATGTATTCAATTTGTCTTACACGTGTTGCAAATATTTTATCTAATTCTTTGTCATATAGAACTTTATTGATTCATGTCACTGAATGTATCCATGTATCCCTTAGTGGTCATATATTTCTCAGTCGCTGAGTTTTTAAATTCAAATTCAAGGTATGTTTGTTAAGTATTCCCTATATATAAGACATTGTGCTAGGCAGTTTGAAAGACATCAAAGTAAATGAGATGTGGTGTCTGCCCTCATGAGTCTCACAACTTAGTGGTGGAGACACGTGAAAACAAACACCTGTAAAGCCAAGGGCCTTGATCATCCAGAAAATACCATAAAAAGAATTGCTATGTTAGAGCAATGCCTCAGTCAGAACCAGGCACCTAGGAAGTTTTCACAGATGCAGTAGCTTTGAAGAGAAAACAGCCTTTCATAAGACAGGGGTGAGAGTAAAGACCCTCATCTTAGGAGAAACAGTGCAAGCCAAGGCAGAAAATCCAGTAAGGAAGGGATAGAGAGAAATGTCTAAGAAAGCTGGACAGTGGACGTGTGGTTAGGAATAAAAGGAGTGTGGTAGAGAACAGATTGAAAAGGTAGCATGCAACTATTTAAACTTTTACCCATTAATAAGAAATATTGATAAATTCCACACTTCCTAGTCTTTTTGAAAAGCAGTCATTAAAGAAAAGAACAACTAACTGCGAGAAGTTAAGCACAAATCTGGAGTGATTGGGTGAACACAGATAGCCTCGCTCTAGTGTTCGATGACAGCTGAAGATGGATTGTAACACAGCCTGTGTGTATGCATATGCACTGCCGGCGGATCTGCTGGTTTCTACCTGGCCAGACCCTTGCCCAAGAACAGCTGCAATTTGCAAGTCTTCTTAAATCTGTTTTACCATCCTGCAGAGGTAAGAGTTGGATAATTTATGCACTATGACTTCACAGTCCTCTGGGGAGGTTGCCAAGGAAAGCATGTTTTGGATAGAAATCTGAAAAAAGGCAAAACAAAAAAAAATGTAAAAACTTAAGCCCAGTTTGGCATAGGGCTAAAGTTTCACATCCAACTCCTCCCTAGGATCTGCCATTTAATCATCCTCCAGGATGCAAGGGCTGCCACGAGTTACTGGGGATAGCGATTAGGCATCCTCGGGCCGCATCAGCAAACACCCTCTCCTGATAGGCAGCTGGAAAGTAATGGGATTTGGGTTTTAGTTGTGAGAGAATGGTGGAAAATGTTACAAACAGCTGACCTCCTTTGCCCCTGCTGAAATAGCGGCCTTCCTCTGCACATTTTTATGTTGCTTTGGGGAGGGTGACAAAAGACAGATGCTTCTTGCTGGAATGCCAGTTGTTTAATCATTCTTTCTGGTCCCAAGACATTTACTGTAGCTTCTTGGAGCTGACATCTTGGGCCGCTCCTTGGTTTTCAATGTCTTGTAAATTGTGTTGCAATTTTCCATTACATGGAATATGGGAAAGTTTGTGGGAGAGTTTTTTGTAGGTGTTATGTCGCAGATGGTGTCCTCAGGCAAAAAGCCTTAAAGTTGGGAGTACAGGAATTGCAAATAAACTGTAAGCTCTGTAGTGAGACACACACAAAAAAGACCTTATCTGGCTCCTGTCTCCTACACAGCTTCAGTCAGGTCCGCAGAAGTATTTATGTCCATGCCAAGGCTCGGCAGTAACATCTGAGATTAATCTTCCCAACAGCATGACCTGACCACACAGTGCCCACGACAGAGGAGACCTGCTTCTTTCTCCAGGTTCTGTGGCCCCACAGCACCCCGGGAAGCAGCATGGTAGATAAAATGTCCTTCAGAAGTATAGTAAACTCTCATCTTAGCCACAGACTGCCCTCCTCAGCAGGTCTCTTGCTGTCTGTTTTCAGGAAGATAACATTAAGTTTTGAGAAACTGAAAAGTTTTGATGTAGTCAGGCATTTTTATTATGTTAAGAAACAGGAATAAATGATTAGTCTCATAATCACATACAACCTGTTTCCCAGGAGGATGGCATGCTTAGGAACAGGCAAATCATGACAGGGATTTGGAAAGATATTCATATTCTTTTCCCTTAAAAGTCATAGTATTTCGTTGAACTTCACGATTCCTCCTGTTTTAGTGTATCTTGTTAACTTTACTTTTTCTGAATGTGAGCCTGTGAATGTTTTTTGTCACCCTCATGTCATATTTACAAATTCTCTTGATTAGCCCCATGACCTCCTTCTCCTGTGCAGAGATGCCTATTTCTTTCCTCCTTGGTGACTACTATACTCTGAAGAGCTCTCTCCTCAATGTGTGGGAACTTCAAACTGAAGAAGTCACAGTTAAATATGTTGTATCTGTGTGTTGGCCCCCATGTCTTAGGGAGAAGAGACATTCTAGGGAAGAACACACTCACATTGTGTTGATGTACCAATGTGCGCATGAGGAGCATTTGGAGACAGGTAGGATGGATAACAAGACTTTGTGTTTCTATGACACTTTTCACATGGACATTTATAAACATATAAAGATTATCCCCCAAACCCTCTCTTCAGCTGGGTTAAGAGCAAGAATAATTTTCGTATTTTATCAAGAAAAACCAGAATAAGGAGAAATGTCTCTACTCTATCAGCTTTACCTAGTTCAGAAACCAAGTCCCACCCTTCTGAGAGTAGAGACGTCGTCTGTCAAACTCACTGCCTCTCCCCAGCCTCTCTTTGGTTCTCTACTTTGTATAAACCAATGTTCTTGGCTCCTTATTTAATCTTAAAATCAGTGCTGGGTGAATCAGTCAGAATATTTGGACATTCTGTTCAGAAAACATTATAAATTGATCAAGATTTGCTTGTACTGCAAAACTCTCTTGGCATTCTTAATAGCAGTCTTCTGTCCTTGGATGACTTTATGAAATGTAGAGTTTGTGTGAGGAGACGATATGGACAATTTTCCCATTGCCCTGAAAGAGACACACCCTGTTACACCTCTTTGCCTTCATCCATGCTGTCCTCTTTTCCCAGCATGCCTTTCTTCCCTGCCCGCATCCACTTGCAATGTTCTTCTGTGCCTTCTAAAATTAAGTTTGACTATTATCATCCCCCTCATCAAGGCTTCACACGTATTCTTCATTTCTCCTTCTTAACAAAGCCCCAGTTTTGTTCAAGTCCCACTCACTCCTCTCCCACTAGATGTGTATCTGGTGAAAGATGTTGATCTTAGTCCCATCTACATGAAAGGACTAATCAACGTAAACACAATCTCAGTCCCTTTGGCCAGGATTGGCTAAAGAATTGTTGTGTGGTCTTGGCCAATCAGACAGGAGGGAAAGCATGTGAAGCGCTCTCAGTCCTAATTAGTAAGATGGGGACCAAGAAAGAGATAGTCAGCCCTCTTCCCCTGGTTGTGCCATGTCTGACTGTCGTCTTAGGGTGGCTGCCTTCCTCTCAGCAGCAAGCCAAGTAGGCCAGCTGGCTTCTTAGTAACACTCCATGGTCACTTAACTCTGAGAGTCTCAGTTTCCTCTTTTTCAAAATGAGGAAGTTGACCTCATTTATCTGTAGCTTCCTTTTAACTTTAGAATACCATACATGCCTCTAAAAGATGATGGGGGAGGAGATATGGAGGAGGATCTAGGAAGTGAAGAAGGCCAGTTAATTTTATTTGTAGCTCTAACCATCTGCTGCCATTAACATGAGCAAGCAGTTATTTGCATTTTATGATTGAGTGATCTCAACTTTCCAGTTTAAGAAACAAGTACTAATCTTGGTTTAACCACTAAGATAAACTCACATTTCCCCATTCCCTGAGGTGAATCTATTAATATCTCTTTATCTTGTATGGTAAACAAAATGTTTTTACTAACATTAAATGAAAAGGGTAGTACAATTCAAATTTAGGAACCAAAACGATTTTTTCCCCTTAATTTCAAGTTAAACCATTTTATCATCCTTCCTTTGTCTTCCTTCTGTAATTGTTCCAAAACCACCCAAGAAGACCTAAAGAATTTGTAAATGGAGAAGAAGTATGGAAAAATATTTTTTTAAATGCACGATTACATTGCTTAAGGTTAGTAGATCTTAGCTTGCTTCAAAATGTTAAGAGACTTAAGTTGAAGCACCATCTAGTGGCTCTCAGTTGTGTTCTGCTAAAAGTTGCTCCCAGTCTCCCTGTATTTAGGACCACAGTTAATTTGTTGGGCATGTATATCATTGACCCTTGAACAGCAAGTTGAAAATGCACAAATCTACTTATATGTGTATTTCTTTCACTTCTGTGGCCCCGAGACAGCAAAACCAACTTCTTTACTTCCTCCTCCTCTTCAGTCTACTCAATGTGAAGACAACAAGGATGAAGACCTTTATGATGATTTACTTCCGCTTAATGAATAGTACATATATTTTCTCTTCCTTACGATTTTCTTAATATTTTCTTTTCTCTAGCTTTCTTTATTACACATATAACATAAAAAATATGTGTTAATCACTGTTTATGTTATCAGTAAGGCTTCTGGTCAACAGTAGGCTATTAGTAGTTATGTTTTGGGAGAGTCAAAAGTTATATGCAAGTTTTCTACTGCATGGAGGGTTAGCATGCATGTTAACCCCCATCTTGTTCAAAGGTCAGCTCTATATGAACACGTATGAGTGTTGAGAAAAAAAAAATGAGTTTTTTTTTTTTTATCTTTATATAGGAGTGGGAGGATGGGGGTAGTAGCTGTAGCTTTTTACTGTTTCAATCTAATCATGGCAGTGAGAATGGGATAAAGAAATAAAATGAATTCCCATAAACCTCTTCTAGAAACAGTAAAGTTCATCCAGTGGAAAAAAGAATTAATACAAATTTAATACTAAGAAAATTTCATAGATTTCAGTTCTCCTGTTTCTCCTACTCACATTCTCTCTAAAAGCCCGTAACAGTATCTTTATCTTCCTTCTGAATCCCATAATGTAGACATGTTCTCACACATCTAGGGATTGGCTATTAGATCATTTTTACATATCTCCAAGTTCTCGAGCACAAGCCCAGAGCATCCCTTGCATTTATATAACCAACAATTTTTCTTGAACTGTCATGGAGATGATACTCATACCTATGATTCCTATCTTCTGAAGTTACCTCTTTTCATTACCTCTATGGGCAGAATGAAAATAGACCATAACAATTGGACATGAGTAGGAATATCTGTTTCATTGTCACTAGGGGAAGAACAAAAATTGGACATGAAAATGGATATGAGTAGAAAATAATTTGTAGCAAGATTGACACAAACCTTCAGATTAACAAACTAGGTATTCGTATCAATTAGGATTAAGTTTAGCTACATGTAGAGTAAAACCTAAAATAACACTGGTATGAACAAAATTTTATTCACTCTCACACAAAAGAAGTCAATGAATAGGTGGTTGAGGGTTTATAGGGAAACTTCATGGTCATCAAGCCCAGGATCCTTCTTCCATCTTTCTTTTCTTCTATCCTACTGAGTGGCTTCTATCCTCAACATCATCCATGGCCCAAGTTGACTGCTGGACCGTCACTCATCTTACCGATGTTGCAGTCTAGGAGACAAGGAGGAGAAGCAAAAGAAGACCCTTCCTTCCTCTTTAAAGAGATTTTCTGAAAATATCACACAAGATTTGTATTTACATCTCATTTTCCAGAACTTATGCAAGTGGGCATACTCAGCAAAGGAAACTGAGAAATGCCTTTTAGCTAAGTACATTCCAACAATAAATTAAATTGGAGTTATGCTGTTAATCAATGTGTCAATTACCTAAGACACCAAGAATGTTGTGTAACAAACAACCATAAAACCTCTGTGGTAACAATTGCTTACACGCCTGGGATCAAGTGGAGGTCAGGTCTTCTCATCTTGACTCAGCTTCCTCATATATTTAGGGAATGGCTGACTATTGCATCTTCTAGGTTGGCCTCAACAGAGAGTTAGGGATGGGACTGAGGGGACACAGCTCTGCTCTACATGGTTCTCATCCTCCATCTGACTGGGCCAAGCATGTTCTCATGGAGGAACAAGTAGAACAGAAGTTCTTGAGACCTGTGCTCAAAACAGGTACACCAACACTTCCACCTCATTTTATTGGCCAAAGCAAACTGCATAGGGTGGATAAATATGTACTCTCTGTACGGAAAGAACTCTAAAGTCAACTGAAAAATTACATGGATAGAGGGAGAGGTGAAGATTCAGAGTCATGGATATACTCATCTGCCACAAGGAGAAAGGGGAGGATGGGCATTGGACCAGTGATAAGGCTTGGCTGTGTCCCCACCCAAATCTCATCTTGAATTGTAGCTCCCATAATTCCCATGTGTTATGGAAATCAATTCCATATTGTAGCTCCCATAATCAATTCCATAATCAATGGAAATAAATTCCAACTGTAGCTCCCATAATTCCCATGTGTTATGGGAGCGACCTGGTGAGAGGTAACTGAATCATGGGAGCAGGTTTTTCCCATGCTGTTCTCATGGTGGTGAATAAGTGTCATGAGATCTGATGGTTTTATAAATGGGAGTTCCCTTGTACATACTGTCTCTTTGCCTGTCGCCATGTAAGATGTAGCTTTACTCCTCCTTGCCTTCCACCATGATTATGAGACCTCTCCAGCCATGTGGAACTGTGAGTCAATTAAACCTTTTCCTTTATAAATTGCCCAGTCTTGGATATGACTTTATTAGCAGCATGAGAACAGACTAATACAACCAGGTAACAAGCAATCCCTGCCACAGTATTTTTTTAGTATGTTATAAAATTGTATTAATGGACTGCTTCCCATTCTATGCCCTGTCTTAAACATAAGGGAATTACAATAAAAAAGAAAGGCACACAAGAGCTTACATCATATTATATAATGTATATATATAATTTCCTAATTAGTTATTTTTTACTCATGTTCAATTACAAAAAGGGTAAGTGTTAATCTTAGTATTTGTTCTATTCTTTATTATGGGCAGAGACTGGGCTAGATGTTGCAGTGAACCTGATTCCTTTTCTTCCAAGTCAGCTAGACTACATTTTCCAGCCTCTGCGGATGTTAATAGATCTATGCTACTAAGGACTAACCAATGGAATGTGAGCGGAAGTGATTACCACTCCAGGCCTGGCCCATAAACACCTCCCACATAACATCCTCCATTCTCTCTCCCTGTTTCCTATTCACCAGCTGAACTAGATAATATTCTGAGAAGGGCAGAGCCATAGGATAAACTGATAGCTTAAAGCAACACTTCTCTTTCCTGCTCTGCCTCAGCCCCACCAACTGCACTAGAGTGTGATGTGAGCAAGAATTAAATTTTTGTGGTGTGAATACACTGAGATGTAGGGCCTGTTTGTTTCAGCAATTAAATAACCATATGCATATAATAGCATCCAATTTATGCAATCATTTTTTCCCTTAGGCTTTGCTAAAAATAAAAGTAACAGACCAGATCACCAGTTTGTTTCCATGCTGTTGATAAAGACATACCGAAAACTTGGAACAAAAAGAGGTTTCATTGGACTTGCAGTTCCACATGGCTGGGGAGGCCTCAGAATCATGAGGGTAGGTGAAAGGCACTTCTTACATAGTGGCAGCAAGATAAAATGAGGAAGAAGCAAAAGCAGAAACCCCCGATAAACCCATCAGACCTTGTGAGACTTACTCACTATCACGAGAATAGCACAGGAACCGACCCCCATGATTCAATTACCTCCGTCTGGTTCCCTCCCACAACACGTGAGAATTCTGGGAGATACAATTCAAGTTGAGATTTTGGTGGGGACACAGCCAAACCATATCAACCTGCTACTTTAAATAAGAAATGTCTTCTTTTAAATAAAAAAATCACTTTTTACCACAGGATTACCATCTGTATCAAGTGAATATAGGATCTTAGTTTACAGTGGCCCTAGAAGATATAAGGATTTCACCAATGTCTTACTCTTACCATCATTAATCCATCCAACTACTACAACCTAGAGTGCAAACAAGAAAGGGAACTGAGACATTAGAGCTCTAAAAGGTAAGGGGACCTTCAGTGTCATCTTCAATGACACTGATATTTCCTTAGTTGAGATCAACTTACAATTTCTGCTAAAATGCAAATACTGCTAAAAATGACTCAACCATTTGCTCAATGATCAGTCTAAACATGCAATGCTGCTGCCCCACTAATTGCTAGCAAGCAAGTAATGGATGGAAGGTCAGCTACTAGCTGACTCACAGACAGTGTTTGCAGTGGCTCCTGCCATTGCAGCATTGATTAGCAACTCGGGTATGCAGAGGAGCCAAGAAGCTGTGAGGAAAGCAGCATTCAAAGAACCCAAAGGGTGTAGAAACACTGCCCAGCATCATTATTTGCCTTTTGCTGAGCCATCTTCTTCTTTATCTTGAAAAGCAGTTGTGTCACATTTGCAAATAGAAATTTACTAAGGAAAATGCAAAAGTAGATAAAGTATCCTAGGCATTTATGATGGCAAGCACAAAGCTTTTGCATGTGTACTTACACTGTATGCTGAGTTGAAACAGGTCTTGGTAATTGTATTAGTCCATCTTCACATTGCTATAAAGAATTCCCCAAGACCAGGTAATTTATGAAGAAAAGAGTTTTAACTGACTCTCAGTTCCACACAGCTTAGGAGGCCTCAAGAAACTTACAATCATGGCAGAAGGCAAAGGGGAAGCAAGGCATGTCTTACATAGCAGCAGACTGGAGAGTGAGCAGGAGAAATTGCCACTTATAAAACCATCAGCTCTTGTGAGAACTCCCTCACTATCACAAGAACATCATGAGGCAAACCGCCCCCATGATCCAATCACCTACACCAAGTCCCTCCCTTAACACATGGGGATTACAATTTGAGATGAAATTTGGGTGGGGACACAACACCAAACCATATTAGTAACTATCACATCGAGTCACAAAAGAAGTTAAGCTAGACTTTGAACACGAAGGCTTGTTGCAAATGGCTACTTTTTTTTTTTGCGATGTCTCATCAAATATAAATTGACATCCAGTTCTTTTGATTTTCATTCTTTAGGGAAAAAAGCCATAAACTATTTAATTAAGCAGGAAGGAACACAAACCCTTTACAGAGAAATTTGAAACTAAACACTTGAGAAGCCCCGGAAACCTTCCCCCACCAAATTCTCAAGATGGGGGCTAGGCCACTTCTGTCCTAGACTAAAACCGCAATGAAGCACTTTCACAATGAAGTTCTTGCCCAGTGCTGCAGGTACAGCTGCCTGGGCTCTCAGTTGTTAATGATGCCTTCACATTAAAGAAGGAGCTGGAGGGAGAATACAACATAACCACAAAAGTGTCAAGCTTTTCCCAGTACACTGTAAACTCAAAATGTTACAATGATTTTTTTTTTTCTTTTTCTACTGTGTCTTATGCTTTTCAGTCTTCAGTTTCTACCTGACATAATTTATCCTCTGGAAGAAAACAAATCCTGTGATGACCAGAATGACCACAAAAAGAGAGAGTTTCACATAAAGAATGATCAGTAAGTCCAACGCTGGAGATCCTGAGCTTCTGAGACCTGTAAATACAGACAGGGGTAAAAAAATCATTTCAAGGATTCTTCTAATTACAAATTAGAGTCAAACATTTTAAAGAACATTTTAAAATATTCTTAAGAGTTCACAGACTGTCATAATCATGAAACCTTCTAACTTACAACTCAAATGTTACTAATATATCATTCTTCCATGACAGAGTTTAGGAACCATGTTTGTGTTTTGTACCTCGTAGGTTTCTGACAAATATTTTCTGAACAAATAAATGCACACTATGCATTGCTAATACTTTCCAATTTTATAAGAAAAGCAATATGTCAAGCTTTCCCCAGTATATTCCAACTTCCCATGCAAATACTAGCCTTTGAAAGAACATTACTCTTGATATTTGGGGTTTGATCTGATAACACTGTCCACACATTGAAGTGATTTTCTTACTAAGTTGATGTAACCTCTTTAGCAAGGTGTTTTATGTCTTCCTACTTTCATTTTATTTATCTGTGAAATGCCCCTAGGAATTATTGAAAAGATAAATCAAACTAATTGGGGATCTTGGTTCACTGCAAACTCTGCCTCCTGGGTTCAAGTGATTCTCCTACCTCAGCCTCCAGAGTAGCTGGGATTACAGGCATGCACCACCACGCCTGGCTAATTTTTGTATTTTTAGTAGACACGGGTTTTCATCATGTTGGCCAGGCTGGTCTCGAACTCCTGACCTCAGGTGATCCACCCGCCTCAGCCTCCCAAAGTGCTGGGATTACTGGCGTGAGCCACCATGCCCAGCCAGAAGCATAATTCTGAAGTCTCTTATCCTATGAAATTGACCACCTAGGCAGGGTGCAGTGGCTCACACCTGTTGGGAGGCCAAGGTGGGTGGATCACCTGAGGTCAGGAATTAAAGACCAGTCTGACCAACATGGTGAAACCATGTCTCTACTAAAATACAAAAATTAGCTGGGTGTGGTGGCATGGGCCTATAATCTCAGCTACTCGGGAGGCTGAGGCAGGAGAATCGCTTGAACCTGGGAGGCATAGGTTGCAGTGAGCCGAGATCGCACCACTGCACTCCAGCCTGGGTGACAGAGTGAGACTCTGTCTCAAAAAAAAAAAAAAAAAGGAAAGTAAAAAAGAAGAAACTGGCCACCTAAAGAATGTGTGAACTCTAAATACAAGTCTGACTCCTGGCTCTAAGATGTTATTCTATCCCATTAAATAACCTGCTCAAAGACTAAACTAGAAAAATGTCAGACAATCCTAGGCATTGTGAGGAAATAAGAAAACAGTATGGTTACAGTTGTCAAAATATCACATAATCCAACTGGAGAAGTCAGACTCATACAAATGAAAAGACAACTTATATAAAATAAAAATAAAAGCTCAAGACCCCAATTCACTATGCCAAATGGGAAAAATTAAGCTGAAAGCCGAGTCATGCAAGCAACTGCCTTTCCTTTTATTCCTAAGCACATAGCTACATATAAAACGTAAATTTCTCCACAGGTAGCTACTCTGTGTTCACCTTATCATAATTGACTATTCCCCTACCTGCTCCTTTTCTCTTGCAACTTATGAATTACCATACCCTTCCTCTTTCCCCTTCAGTGCACTTTTACCCTTTAAATACTGAAGCCCTCAAAGTCATCTTTGGAGAAAGGCACAGATCACTGACTGTTTCTCAGACTCTGTGGTGTTTTTTTAATTTTGTTTTGTTTTGTTTTTATCTGTGCAAATTGTCCTAAACCTTGTCAAAATGAACTTCTAAATTAATTGAGACCTGTCTCTGATACTTTTTAGTTTAAATGTACAATTGAGAAAACAGTGCTCGATGAACATTACAGATTATAAATCATCTAAGGAATAAGAACGTTTAATCAACTCTAACATGGAGGTCAGGGAGAAGCAGGACTTGAACTGGGTCTTGCTGGTCTGCAGGATTGAATAGGTTAAAAGAAGGACTTTTCAAGATAAAGAAACAATTTGAGAAAAGTTTTAAAGATGAGTTCACCTAAGTCATATTTGGAGCATAGAATGGAATATGTAGAGATGAATCTGCAATGATTTGAACCTAATTCTTCAGTGACTTGTATGTGTCAGCTACTGTGCCAGACTTTAGGAATACAAAAATAAAAAAAGTGGTTCCAACTCTCAAGGACCTTATGCTGTGCTGAGAGTCACAGAAGTAAGTGGCTGTAATATCATAAGAAATATGTATGTATTTGGTCTTTGTCCCCCAGTTCCCGGCACACTTCCAAGGATTTTTCCTAAACTTCTTGGAAGTTCCACAGTGATCCATCTTTTGTACGCTAATGAGATGAGTGGTGGCTGGGAGCCTGAAGACAGCTTCAAGATGGGGCTGATAATTAGAAAGATCAAGGCATGGTTAGAAGGTTGAAACTTTCAGCCCCATACCACCACTGTCCCCTTCCGCTGACCTTCTGGGAGGGGAGAGGGGCTAGAAATTGAGCTAATAAGCAATGCCCAATAATTTAATCCATCATACCTATGTCATAGAGCCTCCACAAAAACTCTACATGACAGAGTCTGGAGAGCTTCTGGGTTGGGAGATTTTCTGAGCTGGTGAACACACCGAGGGGCTGGGAGGTTGGCACTCCCAGAGACATCACGGAAGCTCCTTCCTCCATACCCTGCCCTACGCATCTCTTTATTTATTTATTTTTTTGTCTATTCCTGAGTTGGCCACTTTATAATAAATTAGTAATAGTAAATAAAGTGCATTCTTGAGTGTGTAATTTAAAAATCTAAGCTGTTGGAACTTTAAAATATTTTGAGCCTTAACGGAATGTGATTATGGGACCCGAGTTACGTAAACAAGCAGCTACGACCTAGGCAGCCATAACTTTAATTTCCCTGATTGTACATTAGCCTTTTTCCTTGCCTACATTGTTTTGTAAACTGCTGTAAATGACTAAAGGGTGCAGGGGAAGACCCCTTCCCTCTAAACTGTGATCTTCATTATTGATTAACTTCCTTCTTTCTTCTCTCACACAATAACTATCGCATTGCCTAACATGAAATGTTAACTGTACTCTTAAAATTGGAAAGGAAATGAAAACAAACTGTACAGAAAAGAAAACAAACTGTAACTTTAATTAAATCATTATAACTCATAAACCAGCCTTGTATGTAAAAAAGGTAAAATCCTACTGAATTTCTTTTCTGCCTCTATAAACAAGACCTTAAGTTTGAAGTTTGAAGCACCGACCCCATTCCTTTGGAGTCTGTGTTACCCTAATGGCTGCTCTCAGACTTCTGCTTAAATGAACTCTTTTAAACTGGATTCTGATCCTTTTGATTATTTCAGGTTGACATGGGTTCTGTGAGCCATTCTAGCAAATTATTAAACCTGACAAGGGAATCATGGGAACTCTCTGAAATTATAGCCAGTTGATTACTTCAGGTGGCAATCTGGGACTTGTGACTGGTGTCTGAAGAGAGGGAGGTCTTATGAGACTAAGCCTTTAACCTGTGGGGTCTGTGCTAAGTCCAGGTAGTTAGTGTCTGAATTGAATTGTAGGACACTTAGATGGTGTCTAGAGAGTTGGAGAATTAGTTGGTGTGGGGAAAAAAACTCATACACATTTGGTGTCAGAAGCATTGTGAATGAAAACAGTGCCAAGCAGTCAATTACAGGGCTGTGGAGGTGCTCTGACAGAGGCATGTATGAAGCGTTCTGTGAGCAGAGAGGAGGAATAGCTAACCGAACTTCAAGGCCAGAGAAAATCATCCCAGAGGATCAATGTCAAACTAAGTCTTAACACTTCAACAGGAATTGATCAAATGTAATGGAAGAAGAGAGTACAGGGAAAGAAGTGCCTTACAGAGAAGTAGAAATTGCATTCAAGGCCAGGCACAGTGGCTCATGCCTGCCAATTCCAGCACTTTGGGAGGCAAAGGGGGGCAGATCACGAGATCAGGAGATCGAGGCCATCCTGGCTAACACAGTGAAACCCCCTCTCTACCAAAAAATACAAAAAAATTAGCCAGGCATGGTGGTGGGTGCCTGTAGTCCCAGCTACTAGGGAGGCTGAGGCAGGAGAATGCCATGAACCCAGAAGGTGGAGCTTGCAGTGAGCCAAGTTCGCGCCACTGCACTCCAGCCTGGGCGACAGAGTGAGACTCTGTCTCAAAAATTAAAAAATTAAAAATTAAAATTAAAAGAAATTGCATGTAAAAGGGAACAGAGAAATAAAAGCACTTAACACTTTTGAAGAGCCCAAAGAGGCCCACATGCATGGGGTACAGAATCACAAAATATATTATTAAAAATCCAATAAAATATTTAAAATTAGTAAATATATGAAATTATATATTATGAGACATTTAAAAGTAATTAATAGTTATAATATTATGAAGAAGCTAATTAAGTGAACAAAGAATGAAACATTTATATTTTATTTGGCACTTGGGAGATGCTTTTTGTCAGAGCATTTTCTGCGCGGGGAGACACAAATGAGTTAAGGAATAGATGTGAGGTGACGAAGAAGAGACAATGAGTGTAGGGTCCTCTTTTAAAAATATTCTTGGATACGAGTGGAAACCAAGAGTTAAATGTTTGAGGAAGTCATAACACCAAGTTTTTGGATACGGAAGAAAAATAGGCATGTTTTATGAGCAGCTTTAGAAAAATAATTTAAGGAACAAAAAACTAAACAAAAGAGAGAGGAGAATGAAGCAAAGCTCCTAAGGAGATAAAGGGGAAAAAAGGCTTAGAATTTGGGTTGAATGTTGGTATACAGAAGAGAAGATCAAGTAATACTGAAAATAAATGCACTGATCTCTAGATAAGACATATGAAGTAAGAACCTAGACTTGATGGGAGATTGATCATGGAAAACACAGCTAACGAATACATGGTTTCCTTTTGGGGGTGATAAATACATTCTAAAATTGATTGTAGCAGTGGTCACAAAAGCATTGAATTGCATGCTTTAAATGGGTGAAATGTATGGTATATAAATTATATGTCAGTAAAGCTGATGCAAAACAGAAAATAAACATGAAAGATATTATGAAGAATAATTAATATGATGATACTTAATATTAGTTGTAATAATTATCACAATAGCTAATTTTTATTAATACAATACATATAATAGCCAACATTTGTTAATATAAGGAAATCTAGTGGCTAAAATTTGCTGAATGTCAATTATGTAGTAGATACATTAATACAATTATATGTACAGCATATTTACATATAATATAATTTTATTTAATTAACCCAATAATCCTATTAGGTGGATCCCATTGTCTTCATTTAACAGATAAAGAAACCATGAGATAGAGATGTTAAATACTGTTCAAGTTCATATAGCTGGTGAACAAAAACCATATGAAGTGAAAGGCTTTGCTCCTAAACACCAGATTATCCTGCCCAAAACAGTATAAAGATGTGGACCTTATCTTTTCATCTTTGCATCACCAGCTTCAAACTTATAAAGAGCATTCAATAAGTATTTGCTGAATTAATTAGTAGATTGCTTTCAGATGATGAGACGAGAAGAATTACTTGTCTCTTACTCAGGGTAACAAAGTAATAACTATACAAGAAATAAAATCAGGAAGAAGATAACTGTCATTCTGGGCTATCTACTGAACAA